TGTCAAATTTGATTGTCAACTACCTTAAATAAGTAATAGTTGTATCTCCAAATTTCTCTCTGAGATATACCCAAATGTCGTGAGCGTTACAATGTTGCTCGTACTCGTGAATCAAATCATCGATCACAGAGTTAACCAAGATACCACGAGGAGTGGAATCCTTCTTTTTCCATGCTTGGTAAGCCTCTTGATCCCTCCTCTGCTGAGCAGTGTTGCCCACACCTAGGTCTTGCATAATTTGGTTAATGGTATCCAAAGCATCTTATTCATCAAGTACATTCCAAATCTTATGACACCAAGTGTCATAGTTATCCCCATTCAGCTTATCACCTTTGTTAAAATCAATAATGATTGATTTCAATGCCATTGTCTAATTATTAAAAGGTGATCAAAATAATTCTCGTTAATACACATGTTATTTTGTACTAAATCTATTGATATCTATGATAACTTAATACAAGATTCAAATTGGAAAGTAAACAAAGTTTTCAATCATGTCTAAACCAATTACTTTACTATCACAAAATTTCAAACTACAAAATTAATAAATTCAAATGTGAGAATCCAACAATTATCCCAACCTATGAACCCCTACTCAAATAAAGTATAAAAAATATGTTGAACATAAAATAGCATATAATTTCATAGATGAATGAGGAAAAAATAACCATATTATTAATGTTCACAAATAAAAGGAAGAATACATGTTTCTTAAGTAATACAATTAACATAATTATAAGCAAAAAAAAAAATCAAATTATCACAAGTACATTTTCATTATTCTTCTTTATAACTCATACTCATTATGGTCTCTTTGTGCACTTGGACACTCTATCACACACAAGAGATTTCAAATAACTTTTCCTCGTTATGACCTCATATCACAAAGATTAGTGTGTGTATACGGAACATGGTCAATTTCAACTCATCATAAGTCTCCCTTCTCCACTTTTTAACCATCATTTTCTTGGTTTCCTCAAGTATTTTGTATTCTCTCACTCTTTCTAATGTTTCCTTGAACATAGTTTGAAACAATTCAATAGAAAGTTTGTCCAAACATTATCTAATAGAGAATTTTTCCAAGATCCAACTGATATCCCAAATAAATAAGCCTTTTAAACGTCATGTCATGTTCTCAAAATGTGCGTAAGCGTATTTGACCCTTTCATTTTATAAGTAACAAATTTAGCAAGTAATTCTTTACGTTAAAGAGTATGTCTCCTCATAACCCCTCCTTTTAGGATGATTTGAGTACGTTTTGTTCCTACCATATCTAATAAAGTAAATAACATCACATGAACTACTTGTAAAAAATTTTAACATGATTACGATATTAAATAAAAAATTTTCAAAGTACAAAAAAATATAATTATTACAAGTGTTCAAAAATTCAGACCCAATAGCCAATACTTTTGACATGACATTTTGAATTTTCACAAAATTTCAGAATTTCTTTTGAAGAAATTTTATTTGAGGGGGTGGAGGTTTATGGTCACTCTATACAATTAAATAAATTTAGCTTTATAAACCTATCAAGAAATGTTCTGTATTCTAGTGGTAAGTTATTAGTTTTGTAATTGGAAGGTTGAAGGTTCAAATCCTCCTATTTCACTTTAAATGTCTATATTTTGGCATGACCAAGTCATCACCATATGCGATGTACAGTTGACACATAAGATTTTATGACGTGTATCATGACATGTCAACTGATTGGTGCTTTATGAAAAAATATTAGGTGATGTCTCAAACACGTGTTATAGCCACGTAAGCAATCATGTGGATAACTGTATGACATGAACACGTGTATCATGACATGTCAACTGATTGGTGCTTTATATGAAACATATTAAGGTGATGTCTCAACACGTGTTATAGTCACGTAAGCAATCATGTGGATAACTGTATGACATGAGACACGTGTCACACCACGTAATGAATAATCAAATTTTAAATTTTAAACAAATATACATACTTTATATTAGGATCTTTCGGACATTTTACTAAATGTCTTAGTTCGAATATGCTTACAATTGAAGCAGTCTCCTTTTCTTAATATATTGTGTGTGTGTGTGTGTGTGTGTGTGTGTGTGTGTTTTACATAAAATGGCAATGAGAGGTTATTTTCTATAGGAATGGAAGTTTATATATTTGAGCAGTTATGGGTATTTATTTATCGTTTTTAACTGTACCTCCCTTTACCCATATTGTATAATGGGTCTAGGTCTAGTCAACTCACATGGGTGACTCTATTCCACTTTCTAACACAACAAATCAAATCAACTTATTTTTAGGTTATTTCGATTTTCTTGTCTTATTTTAAATTTTTAATATTATAAATTATTTTGTATTTGCTCACAAGGTTACAAGCCAAATGACTGATTCAATGATAGTAACTTTATCTTCAATCATATATACACTATTGTCACATGTTATTATCCTCTCCAAAGAGTTAACCCAATAAGGTATATTGCGCTCATATTTATAAATTTAGGACCTTTCCGTCTCCTATTCAATATGGATTGTTCCCGTGACACTATACTATATTCATATAAAATCAATCTACTGTTCATTACAAAGAGTAATGGTAAATATTGTTGCATATATAGATTTAGATGTACACATGCCTTTTCTTGTTTTCTCTCTTCAGCTAGGAGCCACTCCTCTGCCATTGTAAAAACTGTCTTTAGTGTTCGGTTTCAGTGAATATGAAGAAGATGAGAGAATTTGGACACTTAAATTGCAGGTTTAACTAAATTTTAGAAAAGTAAGTTTAAGAAAATTGAATTTAGAAAAATAGATTTAGATAAAGTAAATTTGAAAAAATAAGTTTAAATAAAATAAATTGTTTAAATAAATTATAAAATAAAATTATAAATTTTTTTAAAAAATGAATAATTCTCAAATTATTATAAAAATGTATTTATTTTTTCTTATTTAAACCCCCATTTAAAGTGAGGCTGAGATAGACTTCTTTTCTACCCTTGAAAGTATATCTAAATCCCAAGGACTTGTTCCGTGGCTCTGAGAAGCGGAAGAAAGAAAAGTATATACTTATTTCTCACATTTGATATATGAAAAAAATTAAGTTAGATAAAAAGTCAAATATAAATAAATCTCAGGTATATAGGGGGAATAAAATAAATTTATCTCCCTTTTCGGATTTTAAATTTTATGTACTTGACAATATTACTCTTACTGTTTACAAAATAAATTACCAAAATCTTTATCCGTGTAAAAATAATGTCCGAGCTGCTGTTGGTGTCAATAGTTGTTGTTCCACTACTGGAGCTCCACCACCATACTCGCTAGCCTTGGAAAATCCTAACATTACCGCCGCCCAACTACCACCGTCAGCCCTGACGTTGCTAAATCATGATAAAGCCGCTGTAGCAGAATCTGAACCCAACTTGACCAATGCAACAGGAGAAATCACTGCAACAAATGCAACCGACAGCTGCCAAGCCACCGTCATGTGGTTCGCTCGACGACAGCAATTCCACCGGGCCATCTACCAACAACCAACATCATCTCTCAACCGCCGTCCGTCATTGTAACAGCCCCACTATAGCAAAAGCCCTTGCAATGAATGTTGGTGTGAAATCAACATGGCTCATCCGTCAGTTGACACTCCAACTCAACCCAGAATCTCCCTAACAGTCACTGAGCATAATTAAGCTAGTTTGAGTGGCCGATTGTCGCCGTGTAGTCAAAAACTATTTGTGAAAGATGGCAAGGCAGCAGTATGCAAGAGATAGGAGGCAAAGAAATGGGAGTAAGAGTATTTTGGTAATGTGTAATCTTATTTTACTAATTTCTCAAAATATTTATAGAATTTACTGAACGAGTAGGAGAATTGAAAATATTAGAATAATATAATATCACTATCTAGTACAGCTTCCCTGTCTATTCATATCTAGACTAAGTTATCAGATGAGCATTGAGAGGATGTAGCCCTCATCAAACATGGAGGGAGGCAGATGAGAAATTGGGCCAAAATGAATTTGGCTAAACCCCGCAATCAAATAAGGTCTAATCAAAAGTTCATTCGGCTTCAACTTTTGAATTGGAGAGGATGAGAGGATTTCGGAATTTAGAATATGTATTTAATCAAAAGTTTATACATAAAATTGGAGATTTGGACCTCAAAACCATGGAGAATAGCTCATGTGCATCTCACATCACGTGCAACTACTGTCAGTGAAATTAACCAGGGCCTAATGAAGGGGCCTATTCACTAAATCGTGATGGTTCGTGGATTCAATTTCTAAATTAAAAGGTCAGGGCCCAAACTTCAAAGGGCAAAATAGCTCAAGGGACCTCAATGCTTTCTTCCCATTTCTTATCTATAATAAATATGAAATTAGAGGAAATTATCAATTTAATTCGGTTTTAAACTAATTTATTTAACAATGTAAAAACTGAACTAATCCAAGCCAAATCTTCAGTTTGACAATTTTTCAGATATAAAATAAAGCATTTACTATTAAAAAAAAAAACCAATTTAGACCAAACCTATCAATTCTGGTTAAAGGTTACTGCTGAGATGGGTTAGTTGTCCCCACCTCCTTGCCAATGCGAGCACAACACAGCTTTCCATATCAATCAAGACAAGCACGGACGATTTAATCTGAGCAAAAGGGTGGATATTTATCATTTAAAAGATGCGAAATACAATGGCATATTCGGATAGGTACACTTGCAACCCTCCAAATAGTTAGTAAATTTCAGAGGCTCCTAAATGTGCCTGTGTGAGACTGTTACCTTTTTGCTCAAATTATTCTTAATTCTAGTGTGTTATACGTTACAGTGATCTAGGTCTCTCCACTAGAAGTGGGCTATAATGTTACAGGGATTACAGTTAAATCAGGAAAAGATTAAAGATGGAAAGTCTGATAGAAGAGTAAGATCCCAGGACTGACGAAGATTGAGTCCCTGCCTCCTCAAAACATTTTGAAAGTAATCAGGTTCCAGCAAATAAGCACCTATCCGTGGTTCAATAATCAGTTGTTCTCCAACTTTTTGAATACTGATTCAGCAAGTTTTGGAGAAGATAAAGCAGCTACACACTTGAACTGTCATGGCAGAAAACAACTTATATCAGGCAACCACACGACACAACTGAACAAAGAAATGACACTACTTACTTTTGGTTGACTTTTTTTTCGTCCTATTATTATTATTATTATTTTTTTTTTTGGGCCGGGGGGGGGGGGGGGTTGAGGGTGTGGGGGTTGAAATAGTGTTAACATTGTCGAATCCAGTTTGAGAAGACAACGGTAGGGATATTGTTTCCAATTTGCAATTCTAATAGTCTCTTCATAAACAGCGTGCTTACTCTGCGAGTCGAGTGACTCTTGAGCATGTAAAATAATAATAAAAAAAAGAGGCAAAAATGAATGGAAAAGAAGCTTAGTTTGTTTCCCGTTTTGTTGGGTTGGGAAAATAATGAGATATAAAGAAAAGGCTCGCTGCCCAGAAAATAAGAAAAACGAAAAAACAAGAGAGTTTTTTCATATATCTGAACTTTTTCTTCCTCTTATCTTAACCCAAACAGAGCATTAGTGTGACGAATATGGAGTTAATATGAAATTACTATAGCTGACTGCTAACTTATACAACCTAAACTCATAGAAAACTGATGAAAGAGCAGGTTGTAGCACAATCTAGTCCATTTTTATTACCTTCCGTTGCTTGTACTTCTCGCGTATAACATTGACGGAGCAACCTTTGGTGTTGAGTTGCAACTCTTGCAACAGAAGGACTGTGCATTTCAAATCTGACGTCACATAACTGGTATAGTGCTCTAGGGTTGGATTCTGCAAGAAATCTGCAAGGAGTCACTTTCTGATCTTATGAAAGATTAACAAAAAAATAGTTTTTAAGAAGTGGCAAAATACAGACCCAAGGATGATCAGATTGATTGAGCGTCCATCTGGCTAGGAATACAGCAGATGCAGCTATAAGGGATGGAAGGAACTTAAGGAAGCTATACTCAACTAGAGTTAATTCTGCGAGATAATTTGCCAAGAATTCCAGTTCAAGGGAAGGAGCCTGTAAAGTAAAATAATGGTTACTTGGCTATTCATTTAATTTATTGGAAGTCAGATGAATCAAAGGGTACCATCAAAGATACCTTGCTGGAAACTTGTGCAGCTTGAATGAATCTCCTGAAACCCCGACAATTTAAGTGTGCGTTAGAAGCTTGAACTGTATTAGTCTAATGATAGTTGATCAAGATGTCTGATGGTGGATAAGAAAATACCTAACAAATTTTTTGGTGGTCGGAACAGATAATTGAAAACCCAGAAAGTTCAGAACTTGACACTCCATTTTCAAGACCTGCTATGTGATCGCAGATATAAGCCTCTGTACAAATACATTGAGATCTACACCTTAAAGTGTTCAAACAGTTTTTGAGGGATAGCATATTCAATTACTAACTACAACCAATGCATGCCATTAAATGTGAAAATTGTAATACTGGAGGATCATCAAATAGATACCAGATGCAGAGATGGTTATCATTTGTGGAAGGCCAGTGTGGTAAATAGGAAATTATTAGAAAGACTTCAAAGGATGGAACGTAAGCTAGTAGCACAGGAATAGTTATGTTTGTTTTGAATATGTTTAATTTGTGATGTGGAATTTGAGGTAATTAAAACTATATATTCGAACCTGGCAAAGACTTTGGAGACTTGTACTAATTGGGAGTTAAAGGAATTTTTGTCAATAAACTAGGACTTAATTGATAACTATAGAGAGAAGGTCTTAGCATGGGTAACAAATATGAGCTTAGAATATAGACCAATTATTTAAAGAAAGTTAGAGACAAGTATTGTATTCTGACTTTAGATGACATGATTGATCTTGGAGCATTAAATTTTAAAATGCATTGGTATCAAATAGGACATCATCGAGGCTATTGGAAAATTTGGGTAGATTGAAGGATTTGAAGAAACTTGAAAAATATTGAAAAGTGATTGAGAGTTAAGGAGGACAGACAGATCTGAGCTTGGAGGATTTTAAGAACATTTAGATTTTTAAAGAATGGCTACTAGTAGTTCAAAAATTTATTTGGGAGATTCTTAGAAATAATTAGAAATTTTTATGATCCAAAGTGTTTGGGGTGAATTTAAGATAAAATGATTGAAAATTCTTTAGAAATCAAGCTGGTTGGTAGTTCACTTATTGGAGTTGAGGTTCTTTTAGGAATGGGTAAATTAAAGATTTTGCTGGACATTAGTAACAAGCTGTAGTGGGATAGATTGGTAGATGACCGAGGAGTAAGTACTAATAAATAATTTCTGGAGGCGTATATTATGAAAAAAAATTAGTGGGTCAAAGACAAAGGCGGAGGATCTGGGTTGAGGATCATAATTATGTTTACCTCAATTTGTAGTCAATTAACGAACATGAACTAGAATTACCAATCCTATTAACTGTAATATATGTTTCAAAAGAAAGCTTGATTGCTTAATACAAATTGAAGCTTCTGGATGAACCCAGTATAAAAGTTTGGGCAAGAACATACCTCTTCTCTTGTATAAGTGTTGTCAGTGATAAAGCAGAACTCCTCTATGCGTGGTGCACATATTTCTTCATATTTTCTTCAGAAAATAAGCAAAACATAAGATATTTTAGTAATATACGAGGTTCATATGACATTCTAGTGCATTACTGCAACTTTGCAGTGCAATTAAAGAGATTTTTTAATGCTTAAACTACATATATCTTGAATTATTATTCCAACTGTTGATAACAATATGAATGAAGTGAACTTCTAGTTAAAATCTGCTTATGATAAATGCATGCAGTTATGCATGTGTATAGTTGCAAATGCATGAGATAGAAGGGAAAAATATCAATAAATTTAGGCCATGTTCAGTTTCAGAACTGGATATAGGGGATGCGAATAATTAGTAGAAAGGACTGGATTAGATGGGATATTATACAGTTGGGAGCTATAAGAACCGATAGTTTGTCCTGGAGGACTAACAGCCCTCGTTTTTCCTTTTTGAAAACTATAGTCACACTTTCTTTATTCATATGACTAACATATATATTTTGGTTTCACAAACTTATAGGCAATCCGGTCTCCTTGCCTTCATCAAAATTTCATACTTGACGTATCTTGCATCTGGTTCATTTATCTGCTACTTGGAAAGAAGGAAATAGAAACTGAAAACTGAAATAATCGAACTTACATATTATATCATCATTTTATCGTCAGTAGTAATTAATTTCGTGAATCACATGTGTAAGAGCTTCTTTAATGAATTTTTGTGTGAAGAATGATGATGCATGAACAACCTAGAACTTACGAGGCAATTAACATGCAAGTAACACCAAGCAGTTGGAGTCTTTGCTTCTCCATTTGATTTTGTGAGAGAAATCGGTCAATGAGATTGACTGTGAGGAACAACGTGTCTGGGACCAGCCTATACTCTTCAGAAACCTGGGAAGAATAGCAAAAATAAAAGTGGAAATGTTAATCATCATTTACTAACTTGAACGGCGATAACACCAACTTATACTTGATAGTCACGCCCAGAGTCGCTAAAATGTAAATGAATTGCAGAAGCCATTTAAGTTCAAAGCCCACTTAGCAAAGATGTAAAGCTATGAAGAAATTAAGTTGACTCCATTTGGCATTGATTTGTACTTGTGCTTTTCCACAAGGAAAACAAATAGACTGGGCAAACATTCAAATTTGTCATCATCATTCTTTCCCCGCAGATAAGCAACTTAAAATCTTTTCACATAAAGCTTACATACATCCATAACATGAATCTGATATTTCTTAGATGGATGGCTATCAAATTCTACTAGTATAAAATGCGTCCGGCTATCAAGGATACTGTGATATAGCTCTCTCAGCATTTTATGGGGAGCAAACAATGATTATGCTTCTCTTTCAAAGCAAATGAACGTACTATTACACTGAAGGAGTGTGAATATATTATCAAAACTGACTATACAAACCTCCACAAGCCAATCAATTAGAATTCCCCGCATGTTTGGAGTAATATCCTTTTGCAACCTTTCCATGTAATTGACTGAAGGTCTTCGATCCAGCTGAAACACAAGGAGTTCCACATATATCAAAAGGAATTCAAGATTTATGAGTGTGGAAGCAAACTTAAATTTGGAATTGAGATGCTGATTGTTTCATGAAAAAGTCAAAAGGACAATTTTGTTTCAATGACTATGCCAGTTAGGTAAAATTAACATTCTTGCCAGTCAGATACTGCCAGACAACAAGAAAATGTTATTTGATCGATCCTAAAATGACATAATTTTAATTTCAGTCAAAGAAAAAATAAAAATAAGCAGCAAGAGCAACATGACTTCTGCATTATGTTGTATTGTTGCTGGAAACAAGAAATAAAAAGTTCAGCTGGGACAGAAACAGTATGTCAAATTGTGCGTAGTCAAATTCTTAGGCAGGAAGAGCAGTGGCTACTAGAACCAGAAGGTAGTGAAAAGTCAGCATCTATACAAACCTCTGTAATTCGTAAATTATTATAAATGTCAGGGGCATACAAGCTGCACATTTTAGGATCCTTGTGATTGAAATCAATATCAGCAATCTGAGTGTCTGAAGCTTCTGATTTTTCTGAAAGTTGGGCTTCTGCAAAGGACAGTGAACAAAATTGTGTCTGTTTGTTAGTCTTTCTTGGAAGAGAAAATTCTAACCAAAAAAATATATGAGATTAATATATAAGTTTTTTACTTCAATATTATTATACCTCTCATTTCCAATCCATAAACCAGAGGAAAGCCGTTCCTAATGTAATCTTAAATGTTGGAGAAACATGGCATGTTGCATGAACACTTCCAACAACTAGGAAATATATAAAAATGAAAGTAAAAGAGCATGGGCATAAATTTGAAAAGGCCTGGAAGACCAAAATTGCTTATGCCATAAGATGTGGAATATAAAAAGGATCATTAAATTACTTGGCAAATAGATGTGATCCTGTTTGGAAACTCTAAGAAGTTCGAGATCAAGGTTTTCAGGACATTACGGTAATGTGTATAAGAATGTTGAAGAGCTCTCATTATCCTTTAGATGACAAGAAATGTGAATAAGGTAGCTGAAAGGTAGGCATTCAGTACCATACTGGTTGAGCATGACATCATTCATCATCCACGGTATAAACAGTAATTTAACTCGCATTTTCTTATTTATGATTGGGAGGATGAAAAAGAATATCCAACCTTTCCTAGAAGGGCTCTTCTGGTGAGAACTCGTACTAGAAGCTTTTGTTACAGGAATCGCCTCTGCTGCACTGACTCCTCTTTCAGTGACATATTTTTTTTGTTCGTTTGTTACATTATCTTTTAAGTTTACTGATAATATAATTTGTTGTGACTCATTGTCCCCTCTTGACATTTCTTCAGTGATATCTGCTCCTTGAACCTGAGGGTTATCTGTAAAGATTGCTGGTGCCTCCTTTTCTCTCTTCTTTCCCAGTACCTTTAGCTGCCTGTTTGTGAGGCCGGAACCAGAAACCAACTTCAATAAGGTAAGAAGCTGAGAAACTAAAAATAACATTAAGAAGTTCTGTGTGCATTTTGGACAATAATAACATATTTTTCAGTTTCCTTCTATATTTTCTATGAATCAATCATTAAATAAATTTATTAAGGAATAAACTTTGGCTAGGGAAAAGAAAATGGAATCTGAACCTTGGCTGCGTTGCTGCTATTCATATTTGTGACATCCTTAAGAACTGCTCTTTTCTTATGCTGGAGACAGGCGGGGACATTAATCGAGTTTTTGTTTTCTTCTGATGCTGATCTTTTTGAATTTGGCTGACAAACTGGTTTTTGGTGTTGCTGCATTGAAGGCGCCGTTGGGGGTAATCCTTCTGATGCAGCCAAGCCCTTAGCCCGTGCTCGTGTGATTCGGACAGCAGGCCCTTCTATTCTAGCAGCAGTTACATTCTCTTTATTCATGTTTACATGCATTGTAGAATAGTTGTGCATGCCTTGAGCCAATACACTTTCCACTACACCTGCATTTCTGTACTGTCTTGATGCTAACAATATATAATCAAACGCCTGAAAAGAAATTCAACAATTAGAAATGGAAAATAATTAAAAAATTTAATTCTCAGAATAAATGATGCAAAAAAAAAAAAAAAATCAACTGCCAAAAGCCCATATATAGGCAACCATAGACATCTTTTATGGTGTCAGTTTCTCTAAGCAGTTTTTTCCTCTCTTGACTAGGACTGCATAATTCCATTGTCTCAATCTCAATAATCTCATTTAACCGTGCCCTTGCCAAACAGAATCCCTTGTTTGGTCTATATTGTTCGTAAAATTCAATGTTAACACATCTGGGCTTTATTGTACCAGAAAAGCTCACAATATGTTGTCAGTCCTGTGAACTCATTCCTCAATTGATGTTGTGCTACTTTGGCTTGAATACTCATTTTTCATCTCTCCCTCGTATCTTCTTCATCTACCATTGTTCTTTACACCAACATTTAATAATTGAGACAAGCCAAAACTCACATTTTACACCATCCTAGGCTCAACATGAGGCATCAAGCGTATAGTAAAATGTAGGTCAAGAAGGGCAATGTGGAGGACAGCTTGGTTACGCAAACTGCATATATTTGCAGGATGGATTAGTCTGATTGTCTACCTGCTAAATACCTGAATCACTTAATACACAATGCGCCCTCAGATTAGATACACAATTTAATCTGAGAAAACATAAATGGGGGAAAATGGTGACTTTTGCATTTTTCCGGAATATAATTAATTTAATAATTTAGTCATCCAGTGATTTCTCATCAGGAGAATATTCCAGAAGACAAATTATGAGAATTTTTATCCAACTCATAGTTCTGTGAACACGCAAGATGTCCACCCTGCTTGTTGTTGGTATCGGAGATTCATGATTCTTCAAGAATCAAGAAAATAGAATGGGAAATGTACCGAATGTTGTGGTCAAAATGAAATACATAATTTCTTTATAGATAACATAAATTATATCAGGCATAAACGCTGAAGTTCGATTTTAGACCATCGTGAAACATTAATCTACTAATGATAGTCTTGCATCCTAACTAGTTAGTCTTCCTTCCCCAAATACTAACCAGTACATGGTGCAAAAGACGGATTATTTCCTTGCTACTTCACCTGACTATGTGCTGTCCTTCATTTCCATTTACGGAAAGCAAAATTATATATTTTTCTAGTTTAGAACAGACTTGAGTCTTGAGCTGCTCCTTGGGTCATGGCTCCAAAATTTTTCGTAACGTGTTATTCAAATACAAGCTGTAACTTAAATGATAAAAATAAAAATAACCCATGCAAAGCTGCACCGGTATCTTGTAACATTTTGAAGAAATATTGGAAAACTTTGTTATCCATGTAAAATATGAACGAGTTTCTCACCTGCAGTTTTCCTCTACAATACTCCAGAGCAGTGAATAAGTAATAACTTTCTTCATATTTCCATAGCTACATAATTGAACCCTGCAAGACATTCTCATGATTTTTATTTGCATTTGATGACAAAATCATGAAACTCATCTGATTTATGTAGCATTTGTAGCAATTTAAAATTAGTTATTTTAAAAGGGGACTAATAGCCTCCATATACTCTTTTCTTTTAATTTGAAGTACTTTAAAAATAAAAAAAAAAGAACTCCAGAAAATGATACGCAGGTATTTCATAAACAGGAAACAATGAATAATACTTAACTTGTTTAACTTAAACATCCAAATGCCACAAAAAATCTAAACAATTTAGGGAGATGTCCTGTACAGATTATGCCTTAATGACTTAATAAAGAGCAGGATACGGGTAAAATGCCAAAAAAATCAAAGGTTACGGCATCTGGACGATTCATCAAAAGGCTATTGTGGAGGCAGTAAAACGCAGGATAAAAGCATACCTATTAAATTCAAGGATGTGATAGCTGAAAATCATGCATTCATCTCAAGGTTTCTCTTTTGTTTTTTTTTTTTTTTTTTTTTTTGGGGGGTGGGAGGGGGGGGGGGGGAGGGGGGGGAATAGGAACGCCATTTATGCAAGTCAAGAATATCATGCTCCAATACCTTCTAAATTCCATAATTGTCATAATTCTCTCAGAATAGCGACCAAGGTTATGAATAAAATAAAAACATACAAACACTTTCCATTGCAGAACATGCGCAAATAGTCTATCGTGACTGTCTTTCACTAAATAATTAAACACGAAATGCGCATCCCCATGGCGAAAATAACAGCAGTCTATAAGACAAATTAAAAAACCTCCAGAGAAAGAATCGAAAACGAGGTGAAATAAGTAAAGGCCAAGCTGAACATTTAAGAGAAAAAGAAAAGGCAAAAGAAGAAATAGAACACCATAGATCTGTGTGGCCATAAATGCGTACACACGAATATATCACGTAACAGAGCAATTCTTATTTGAAAATCGCGCTGCATTTGCAAAGAAGACAATGCAGCACCGTGAAGCTCAAAGATAAGAGCGTAGGCACCTGTGATGCTCGTGATATTGTTTTGCGGTAGAACAACGAAAGAGAACTGAGCTTACTCTGCATTTGGGACCTCCGAGACCTCTCAAGGCGGTCTGGAGAGCAGAGCTAGGGTTTGCTAGAAACCAACCATGCGAATTGGGGAAAGAGAAAGCAGAAGAAGGGGGCAGCGCAGGTAGAAGAGTAACTTAGAGAGAGAAAGTGAGGAGACAGAGCGTTGGGAAGATATATAGGATGAGAGGGTTGGAGCGTGAGAGCGGGACGAGGTACAGTTCAAACTTCCGAAATAATAAGTTGCTAACTCCGCTCCTGTTTCTACTTCTTCCAGACACTAGCGCCTCTGAAGTCCAAAAACTCCAGCCTGCCACTCATAATTAGCCACGTCACTGCAAGACGAATTTGAACCCTTGACCCACCAAAAGAGTAATAATAAAGATGTAGAAACTTTATTAGTGGCTTACCCCGTGGCCTTTGTCCCTCGGAAGGACAGGCTTTTATATTTTCATTTTGCTACTACAAAAAATAAAAAAGAAAAAAATTATAAGTAAATTTTCATAGAATTATTAAATGGGCTATTAATAAAATTATATATTCGTGACTTCGTTAATTATAATTATTCAAAATATTTATTAGAGAGATGCTTAATTTAGTAATTAGCAAGTGCAAGACCATTTTAATCTTTCTAAGTGACAATTTGTTTTTATTTCAAAAAATTTAATTGTAAAATATTTAAAATAAATCCCTGCTTAAATGCTTATTAGTGGCATATTTATTGAATATAAATGATAAAATACTCTTTTAAATTTATTCTTTTTAATTTTAAAAAAGATAATATATTTTTGTTTCACGTGAAGTCACAAAATAGTAATAATTAATTTAAAATATATTTAATTATTTTAATAATAAAATAATACTCTGATAAATTAAAAAAAGGTAATAACCTGACATGGTAAAAATTATAAATAATAATGACTTTTCTTTTACTGTCCATTTTTAAAATTAAATCTTTTTAGATTTATATTTTAAATAGTTAAGCATTTTCAAACTGATTGGAGATTAATAATATATCATTATTAGGCCAAAGCAAAGATGTGACATCTCACCTCCCATTTGTCTCATCCTACGGACAAGCATGCTTGATAGAAAATATCAAAATCATTACACTAATAATGTTATTTGTATATATCCCAACCCAAAAAATAATATGAATTGGAGAAAATTCACGATCACCCACGGATCATTTAAAACTCATT